AAATCAAATCAACATATATGTATTGAGAATTGACATAATCATGAAATGCTACTTGGGCAGAACCAAGCTTAGCTTTTCTGATATTTTCATTTTGCAGATAATAGGATGAGTGAATTCCATTACTACAGACTGAATTTTGACCTTCAAGGAAGGACTGACTAATAAGAACATTAGGGGAAAGTAATTAGTGTCTAACAGTGAAGGAAAAGGGCACAAGGTTTGCATGGATGGAAGTGTAACGAAATGACTAGGATGAAAACAAACTGTAACTCAGTTCCACATGGCCAGACAAAAGAAAGATTATATTATTAAGCAGGGTCCAGTCTACAGAGAGGCTAGGATAGGGGACCAAAGAAAAATGACATTGCACCTCACCAGCTGTCTTTTAGAGAGTGATCTTGAGTCATCCAGAATGTCTGGTCAGTAATCTCCGAGGAAGGGTGTGTGCTGCCTTCAGAATTGTGACATCAACCATCCAAATAGATCTGACACTGGTCAAGCAATCTGATTTTAGGAAGTTATTTTAGGAAGTGATGACTAGATTACAGAACTTGAGCTTTTTTTTCTCTCATTATTTCAAATTAGCATCTTACCTTTTTAATTTAGGTAAGATATATAATTTCCTAATGCTATTGTTCATCTATACAAAGTATTTTTAGGACCTGTTAAGTGATATCACCTGGAAAGGCTATCTCTAGCTCATCTTTCTGTAAGTTCACCAATGACCAGAGAGAAACTCTACAGTCTCAAATTGTAAGAGAAAATAAATAGATTGCTTGATTTACTGATTGGCTAGTAAAACTCTCTTAAGTTTCTTTCTATGAACACATATACATAATGAGCAGAAATTTAGTAAAAATATTAAGGTTAACATGCTAGATGTGGTAGTACTGTGTTTTGTTCATCTTGGTAGCTGGAATCTTGTGGACTATCCCAGAATCCCTTCTGCCTTCCAGATGTCCCACCTATTTCCTGCCTCAACCATTGGCTATAGGCTTTTTAATTGACAGGTGTTGCATCCATACAATGTACAAGATATTCCTTCTACAACGTAACTTAAAGCACAATGCCTGATCTTATGCTTAGCCACAGGAACAGTAGATGAAGAGATAGTAAGCATACTAAGCCAGTTTCAACATAGAAAGCTGGAAGAGATGCTTACACAGAACAGATGATATAAACTTATCCCAGAGACCAGGACTGCTGGAGTCAGGGTCTAAGTCAATATATGAAATGCAATTAAGCATAAACACAGAATGGGAAACACTGGACTTGATACTAATTTAGGGAGGAAACTTCTAGGGATTTGGGAGATAGAATACGATAAAATTACAAAAAAAAAAAAAAATGTAGGGCTCTCATAGTTTTGGTTGAACCCATGAAAGATTATGCCTAGATCCAGCTTGGGGCATTTCATCTTTAAATTGACAAAGAATCATCTAATCTTTTCCAGGGACCACACTAGTAAAATGCATATCCAGAGAGTGATAATGAGGAATTGACATTATGGGTTTTGGTATTAATTTCTGTGTTTTTTTCTGTGTGTGATACATTTGAAGGAGTAGCACTTACCATATCCTTAGGTGCTAACTTTGTGCCATTCTACCCGAGGTGCACAGAAACCACACCTTGGATAAAGGTCACTCCCTCCAGCCTGTTGAGTTTGATGCACTGGGTTTAATGGTGGTAACTCCCCTATCATTGAAAATACATGTTTTTGAATGCTGAGTTAAATTTTGTGTCTATATTGCTAACATGTTCAGGAGTTGGATGTGAGTTCCATTTCAAGTAGATTCAAAGCATTTTTATCTTCCTTTAATTATTAAAATAAACAGTATTTTTAGATGGAGGCAGGAAAAGCTCCATATTTATTTTTAAATGGAAGAAGGTAGTTAATAAAAAGTCAGTGTTTCTCAAATTATGGGCTTGATTCCTGTGCCTAAAAATTTTTCACTGTTAGATTTAGACTTCCTGCAGAATTAACAAAAGAGAGTCTAAAGTTACTCCTCATTAAAATAAAGACTTAGAGAGAACAATCTAGAAATAAGACACAGCTCTTAAAGGGCACGAGTTGAGTAACTTCCTCACACACATACACAGGTGCACATACACAATACTGTAGACTATTTTGCACATGCAAATTACAACTTACAACCTAAAACTGTTAGCTTTTTCATAATCTGCTTAACTAGATATCATCCATAGCCTAATTATATCTAAACATATCCTCAATAGTCTATAAGTCTTAAATTATTTTATTTTAATCGTGTGTGTGTGTGTGTGTGTGTGTGTGTGTGTGTGTGTGTGTGTGTGTGT